AAATATCCTCTTACTTAAACTAGAAAATCACATTACAATGGTACCAAATAAAGAAATACTGAATCATAAGTTGAGTAAGAGATGCCAATCTCAAAAATGATATGAATAACTATTGAAGAATTAAGTCATTAATAGTTTTGAACTACTAATATACTTATATATTATTTAAATTTTAAGACAGTTGTTTCTGTTTCAAAACCGTTATAAAATCATTTTCAAGATTAAAGTATATACCTATTTAAAGATACGCTAAACACCACAATACTATTAGACCATAAATAAAATAGACACATGACATTTTTATTTTTAATAGCCGATAAAATATCACAAAATATGAGATTACAGCTAATGTGTATATTTTATGTAGGTTACTTTTTCAATAATTGGTTGCCAGCTAGAAAAATATCTAAACAATTATACTAACAAGTGATCTAATTGTAGATTTATGTCCGTGCAGTTTTGTACACAGTTTGAAGGTCGGATTGAAGATATGCGTGCGTAACACGTCCGTCTAAAGTGCGTTACGGTTGCAGTTGTAATTATATTATGAAAATGTATGAAATGACGTCTTTCATACAGCTTCATAATATAATTACAACTTCCGCCTGCATTCCATTAGGCGGCGATTTAATTTCTTTCATACAGTTTCATACATTAACAAAATGCGCATAGTTGGTTAGCCTCCAAGTTATTTATTATTAAAATTCTCTGAATATTGTGGTTGCTACATAGTCTGACAACTGTCAAATATTATTTAAACTAAATGTATTGATCTTAAATCATATAACTAAAAACTCGAACTGTATAAACAGTATACAATCTATTCAATAATAACAGTAATAACTAATGTTTTGAAGTTAATAATAAAATATGTATGTTTAATTTTTGTTAAACGAAATATATTTTAATTTAAAAAACAAAATATTCACTTTGAAACCTATTATTAACATACAATATTTTTGACGGATAAAGTAAATTATATAATGTCTCTTCTCCAATGATAAAAAAAACAATTTTCACCAATATTTCTTCACAACAAACTGATATGTTTGAAATTATATAAAAAGGCGTTTTAATACATTGCTACATTTTAAGAAAATGTAATAGTAAAAATATAAAAAATACAACTAGGTACCGACATTGCTGATAGTTTCATTACCATTGCTTTCTTGAAGTGTACTGTATTTTGCATCACATAGCAAAATTACAGTAGGTATACAGAATATACCACTAGGTAAAAAAAAACGAAATTCTAAATATGTAATCGAAGAGCTCATCCACACGAAAGTTTAACGGACGTGAAGAACTCGGAAAGACGAATTTGATTCAATGACTGTGTTGTGTGTGTTCAATCACTGATTCGACTGCGGTGTTTAAAATCTAAATCTAAGATAAAAACGAACTGATATCTGTGAATAAAACTACAGTCAACTATTTATTTTTTCTATTTTAACTACACCTTTCATCGACATTGCAAGAACTTCCGTGAAAATGAGATCTAACACATGAGTTGTACTTAAAATACGGTGCAATATGAATGAAATTAAGAAATTTGCTATAAAAATATATTAGTATAGTTTATGAATGTTCTATGAGAAGTTTTTTAAATTACACACATACTTATTTACTTAAATAAACGTCGAACTTGTACTTTAATCGGCTTTGTTTTCAACGTGCCACACTGGAAAGACAATTTTCAAATTAAGTTAATAAATCACACCACACAGACCCATGTCCAGAAGTATACTATAACGAAAAATTCTGGCCGTATAAGAATAGGCTGGCTTTTAAAGTTACGTTACAAATCTGAGCGATTAATATCTCTTTTTTATCAATTAAGGCGAGCGGCTGTTAATATATAATTCATAGTACTAGAAAATGGTCGGGTCAATGCACTTATATTTTGTGTCTTTACCTTGTAAATTTCTTCTAGCTTGAAATGTGGTCAAAGTGTTACATGTATCACTTCCATTTTTTTGTAACATTATATTTTATACAATAAAGTCAAAAATACTTATTTTATGTGTTTCATGTTTCGCATAAAATTAAAGTTTGGAGTTAAATGTTACATACTGATACGCTGATTCTGAATATAGTAGTTTATCTAATACAGGTGGTGACAAACAGGTAAATAATATTGATTATAACTGTGAAAAAAAAATGTCTAAGCATTCCTGGAAGTTTGTATTCATTCTTTATCTTGTCTCGTTGGTCTTGTTACAGTGAAAACCCGATCACTAGTAATGAGGGATTCTAACCACAGCCACAGTTTTAAAATATATGTTGATTTTTCACTAAGGATGAAGTGTTGGTTTCATTAAATATTCACCATCAGAGTGGAGCCCTTATGTGTCACACTTTTTCTTGTTTTATTACAGTCGCAGTATGAACGTAACATTGACAGCTTCAGATTATGATCACGAAAATGTTTTCATTCATAACTGAAACCAGTTATATAGATGTAATCATCATTATCATCATCATGACGATGTCAAAAGTCCACAGGTTTCTTTCATACATTGCACCTTAAGGGAAATTTAATCATAATTGCCATGCTTATAGCAACCGCAGTTTTTTTTTAATTATTTTGAGTAGTTATCAAGAAGAAGCTGCTGCCCACGTCCTGTATCAGTTTCCCTCTTTTACTTTTACAACACCCACGGAGATGATATTGGGGAGTAGATTACCTTATGTCGCCGCTACGCGTCGCATAATACCAGGGTAATGAGCAGCACTATGTTGTTTTCATATGTATTCTTAGACTTTGTGTTCACCCTCGTTAGTTGAACTGTGTTGTGTACTCTTTGGACACTCTTTCTTATATATTGGTATAAACTTTCAGAGAAACCGTATAATCACTGACTGTGATCACCGTGCTAGTGGCGGAGTGAGAATATCCACTATCCCATATACTCCCGTGGTTGTAGTAAGAGGCGACAAAGGGAAACATGAAATCAGGAGATGGATAGCAGCGTCTTCCTAATAACGACTAAAAGCGTGGCAACTGTGGCAAATACCCCCCCCCTCCTATAAAGCAGTCTACGGTGGACGCCTGTATTCAGTAGTGGACTTTAATAGGCTGTAACGGTAGCGTTGAGGCATTCCATTAGTCCTCAGAGGTGAAAACGACGTGTATCCTTCTTTATATGAAAGTGGCCGCAGGTGCACATGGTCTTCAGTAGCCACTTACCCGATCACCCGTTATCAGATGGACTGTAAGTTCATTTGTCACATCAGTTTTATTAAAAATAATGCTTGCATTGCCTGCATGGTTATTGCATGCTTTATAAGAGGGGGGCGAGCATGCTGCTCACTTGATAGTAAATGACTACCACCGTCCATCGACAATTGCAATTCTTTTCTTGAAGGACCCTATGTCTACGGCTACCTACTTACAATACTTCAATCGATAAAAACGGAAAAAACTATTTAGTTAGCTTATATAACAGTGAGGGTATTCTAAAATATTTAGGTTGTAGCTTACATGATCCAGTGAGAAGTGTGCGGTGCAGTTTAAGTGGCGGGAATATTTCGCGTTTAGCTTACATGACCCAGTGAGAAGTGTGCGGTGCAGTTTAAGTGGCGGGAATATTTCGCGTGTAGCTTACATGATCCAGTGAGAAGTGTGCGGTGCAGTTTAGGCGGCGGGAATATTTAGCGTGTAGCTTACATGATCCAGTGAGAAGTGTGCGGTGCAGTTTAGGTGGCGGGAATATTTCGCGTGTAGCTTACATGTTCCAGTTAGAAGTGTGCGGTGCAGTTTAAGTGGCGGGAATATTTCGCGTGTAGCTTACATGTTCCAGTTAGAAGTGTGCGGTGCAGTTTAAGTGGCGGGAATATTTCGCGTGTAGCTTACATGTTCCAGTTAGAAGTGTGCGGTGCAGTTTAAGTGGCGGGAATATTTCGCGTGTAGCTTACATGATCCAGTTAGAAGTGTGCGGTGCAGTTTAAGCGGCGGGAATATTTAGCGTGTAGCTTACATGATCCAGTTAGAAGTGTGCGGTGCAGTTTAGGTGGCGGGAATATTTAGCGTGTAGCTTACATGATCCAGTGAGAAGTGTGCGGTGCAGTTTAGGTGGCGGGAATATTTCGCGTGTAGCTTACATGATCCAGTTAGAAGTGTGCGGTGCAGTTTAAGTGGCGGGAATATTTCGCGTTTAGCTTACATGATCCAGTGAGAAGTGTGCGGTGCAGTTTAAGTGGCGGGAATATTTAGCGTGTAGCTTACATGATCCAGTGAGAAGTGTGCGGTGCAGTTTAGGTGGCGGGAATATTTCGCGTGTAGCTTACATGTTCCAGTTAGAAGTGTGCGGTGCAGTTTAAGTGGCGGGAATATTTCGCGTGTAGCTTACATGTTCCAGTTAGAAGTGTGCGGTGCAGTTTAAGTGGCGGGAATATTTCGCGTGTAGCTTACATGATCCAGTGAGAAGTGTGCGGTGCAGTTTAGGTGGCGGGAATATTTCGCGTGTAGCTTACATGTTCCAGTTAGAAGTGTGCGGTGCAGTTTAAGTGGCGGGAATATTTAGCGTGTAGCTTACATGAACCAGTGAGAAGTGTGCGGTGCAGTTTAAGTGGCGGGAATATTTAGCGTGTAGCTTATATGATCAGTGAGAAGTGTGCGGTGCAGTTTAGGTGGCGGGAATATTTAGCGTGTAGCTTACATGATCCAGTGAGAAGTGTGCGGTGCAGTTTAGGTGGCGGGAATATTTAGCGTGTAGCTTACATGATCCAGTGAGAAGTGTGCGGTGCAGTTTAGGTGGCGGGAATATTTAGCGTGTAGCTTACATGATCCAGTGAGAAGTGTGCGGTGCAGTTTAGGCGGCGGGAATATTTAGCGTGTAGCTTACATGATCCAGTGAGAAGTGTGCGGTGCAGTTTAGGTGGCAGGAATATTTAGCGTGTAGCTTACATGATCCAGTGAGAAGTGTGCGGTGCAGTTTAGGTGGCGGGAATATTTAGCGTGTAGCTTACATGATCCAGTGAGAAGTGTGCGGTGCAGTTTAGGTGGCGGGCACTGGCGCTGGCTTGTCGTGTCGGCGGCGCGGTCGCCGCCCGCCCGCGTTGCGCTTGTCTGCCTGCACTTCGAATGGCGAGTCCGCAGCCGTAACGTCCGTTTCCTTCTCCTGTTGCTGCTAAATATAAAAACACAAACAAATATATGTAAAAAATTGTAAAAATTATCAATCATTTACGTGGTAGCCATATGCTTGTTGCACGAACGGGTCGCCTCGACTGGATTAGAACCTCGCTCTCGCAAAATACCAGCGTGAAATAGCAGCTTAATGCTGCTGTGTTCGTATGGTAAGTGTAGAGAACCTGCTATACCTGCTCCTATTTTGTGGAAACGTGGTCCTTCCCCGGTTGAGCTGTCCCTTTTGAAGTCTGTTCGGCGAAAACATGATAAAAAGCAGGGTTCCTAAACTCATTAAAAATTGCGATCAACCAGTTATTTTGGTGGTAGATTACAAAAAAGATGCCGTATCGGCTCGCCCACTCGGCCCAGCACTTGGCAACAGCTGCGAGACTTGTTCATCCGCATAAATCTGTGTTTGCGGCTTATGCGATGCTCGTCGAACAGATTGCGATGTTTAAGCAATAGTGGCTATTGCGAGACGCTCCCATATTATTCATCAACTATCACCGAGCAGGTTTCACATCGCAAGCCGGCATAGATAAAGTAACAATATGCTGCAAATAATGACCTCCAGACCGAATTTCGGTCACGGTGGCTGAACGGAGGTAAGTCATCTGCGCGGGACACGATTATAGTGCCCACGTGAATGCGCAAGCACATGCGTACTTTATTCCCTCACTCTACAGTCCGATGGGATGGCAACCCGACACAATTGGAGGGAGATCAGGCGCAAGATCAATAAGTAATGTCTCTCATAGTAATATTAACATATATGTATTGTATTTTATTTATATAGTTAGTATGTATATTTATGTTCCTCTACTTATCTTGTGTCTGTAGCTTTATTTCTTTACGCCTTTGGTTGCATGAAAAAGATCGCTATTGTAACAGCGATAATGTCGCCATATTGTATACTTATACACTTTACTTGCTTTTCTTGACAGAAACCCCATTTGGTCCGAGCTGATTAGCAATCGCGTTTACGACCACTAGACCAACGATGCAGTGAATGGTGTACACAGTACGTACGTCGTGTTCGTGGTGGCGCCGCTGGTGGTGGGGGTGCGGCTCGTGCTTGAGGCGCGCGCCGGCCCGCGGCTCGGGCCGCAGCACGTTGCCCACCGCCTTCGTGCGCCCCTCGCGGAACACCTGCACCGCAACGCTCTCTTAAACTATCTTCCCATTCCACTGCTGAATTTTGACCTCCTAGTTTTCCTCATAGAGCATTCGCCATAGTTTCCACGCTACGCAGGCGGGTTACACAATAAAGAAGGTACTTTTAAATGTATGTAATGTGTGTATTTCATTACTTATATACAAATTAACTAATTATTTAATGGCGAGTGCGTCAGTCGCGAGTGTGAGTATTAATACAAACCATTATTATTAAATGCGTCTTTGAACAACCGTCCATACCGTTACGCTGAACCACAGTAATCATAATAGTACATTAGATTTACTAAGTAGTACAGTAGAGTTCCGGTCTGAAGTATACAGGTTGTTTGGCGGAGAGTTAGACAAACTTGGTGGGCTTGTAGGACCTATTCGTAACATACAGATTAAAGTAGAAGACCCTTTTTTCACATTTTTTTTTTGTAATTTTCTAATATTATCCGAAATTTTACCTCTTTACCCCTACAACTTTTTTTTGTACATGTTTTCGATTGAACTTTTTATTTGATTTTGGTCCCAGATATAAAAAAATATATATTTCACAGTAACCGCATTCAAATCATGACTAACCATTTAAACAAACTGGGGACCACAGTACCGCTACAAGCAAGGATTGTTTGTCTGATATGTCATGACAGAAAGAGAGAAAAAAAGAGGCACAATGTACTAAGCGAAACAAAAGCTTTTTAATAAGTGTTCATTTCAAGTTTGCCGTCGTCGACCGTTATGACATCACAGCTGACGGTATTATATCACATAAACATGATGACTATTTTTTGTCAAATTGAGCAAAACTAAGTAAGTATTTTGTTGTCCTGTAGACAGAAATTGATTTTCTTTATTAACTGGCTTTACGGCTCTGGTTTCTAGACCTACTGAGCCTATCCTTTCTTTTGGAATCTTCATTTTATGTTCTTTTTCTTCACAATATGCTGATGCGTCACATTGCGAAGCCCTTGGGAGATTTTGACGACAGCTCAACCTAGCGTACAGTTGATGACGACAGCCACTCAAGTTCATGAGGTGCCCAAGCTTCGATCAATAGTATATAATTGATCGAAGCGCCCAAGCGATCAAAGTAACTTGAGGTTTACATCGACATCACAGCACTTGTTTCGTCGTTTTTTCTAATAGTTCACACGCGCGGACAATTCACAAAATCGCATCACTTTTATGAATCAAAATCCACTTCAAACCATTATTCAAGCGACAAAACAGGAGCGACAATCCGTCTACGGCCAAGTTCCCGCCAAAACCCCGACAGAAATTGAAAGCAAACAAGTAGATAAAATGCATACTATAAAATAATTTATTTAGTAAAGTTAAATAATAACAGTGATTAGGAACGTGTCTGATACAATTATAAAACATTATAATTAAATTTTTATAATTTTATTTTACATTTAAAATATTTTAAACAAGTAAAACATTACGAAGGCGCTGTTATCGGTACTAAAAGGGCGCCGCGGAGTGAGGGAGCGCGGCGGGAGGTAACGGCATTCTTGGAATGAACAAGTAGTACCTGCTCTTGGAATGTTTGCCTCGTATCAATTACAATTGTCGATTTCCTGTTTTTTCGAAGACATCAGTCGAATGCCTAGCTATGATAAGAAATCATAATTTATTCAAGGTAATCTTTACTAATTTAGCGTACCTATCGTTGTATTAGTAATAGGGAAGTGATAACCTACAATGTTTTATTTTTAGCGTTTTCACTCCATTTTCCCCATAAGCCTTATTTTTGAGAAAGTTGATAGACGTTTCTGCTACATGTAAATACACCGATGTAATAAGCAATGATTAGAGAAGTTTTTGAAAGAATTTGAACTCCTCGATCACTATTAGTTTTTTTAAACGATGCTAAGTTGACCTATTGGATTAATTTTTTTATTTTCTTAACTTTGAGAGCCCATAACTAATTATTTACTCATTAATTTAGAATAACAATGCCTTCGATAGATCAAGGATACATCTGGGACCAAAATTAAATAAAAAGTTCAATCGAAAACATGTAGGTACCAAAAAAGTTGTAGAGGTAAAGAGGTAAAATTCGGATAATATTAGAAAATATAAAAAAAGTTAATAATTAGGGTCTTCTACTTCAATTTGTATTTTACAAATAAGTTCACCTACAATTTCAATAAGTTTGTCTAACCCTCCACCAAACATCCTGTATACAGAGAGAGAGAGAGAGAGAGAGAGAGAAAGAGAGAGAGAGAGAGAGAAAGAGAGATGGAGAGAGAGAGAGAGCCAGTATAATTACAGTCTGTGAGGCATTCCACCTTAGAGATGACAACGCATCTACAAACTACTTTGTTTGAAGTTGGTTATAGAACTCTATAGACTGTTAAAACATATTATATTGTTTACGTTAACTGTACAAATTAGATAGTTTATTGACGTTCACACTGCCAATGTTCAAAAGTACTAAAACGTAGAGATTATAGTCCTTGATAAGTACAAGCATATGTATATTATTGTTCAAGGCGTAAAATACTTACGA